GGCTTCAGGCTGATCAAATGAAAATCTTAATTCATCAAACCCATCAATTATAAACAGGAGCTTCTCTGGATCATTCAGTATCTCTTGAATTCTGTTTTTCGTTGCATGACTGTTGGGCCATTGTTTAGAAATTATTTCCACAACACTACTCTTCTCTGAGTCTGCATGGAGGTTCATCTCCCTGCAATGAATATAAAAAATGTAGTTAAACATGTCCTGATAAAGGTATTCAGAGGCCCAATCAAGCATAATTTTTCTTGCTGTCATGGTCTTGCCGATTCCTGCGGCTCCTTGCAACACAACCACTTGTGGAATTAGTCCATGTTTGTCAGGGCTAAATAGGTTTTCAATGGTGGCAGAAGAACTGGATCTCATTTTCATGATTTCAGCATGCTTTTTTCCTGAAGCCCTAATTTCATGCTCTCTTGCTTTTTCAGATCGATGACAATCTATGATGATTAGTTTTGAGTATCTCTCATTTAGATGCAAATCTTCACCAAGACAAGAATTAGGATCCTTTATTCTTTGAAATTTTATTTTAATATGCCTTTTGTAGCCTAAAAGAAGGACATAGTGCATAAGACATTAGAAGGCTTTAAAACAAGGCCTGCACAAGCTATTCTATGAAGCATTTTGCAAAACACTCGATGGATCTGCTCCTTGAAGATGCAAAGCAGTTTCAATGCTTGAAATCTTGGCATGGATGCTCGGAAGCTAACTAGACAGTTCCAGTGGGATAACTGGCACAATAAAGGTTGGCTTATTGAATGATTTGCACATGAGTACAAAAATACATTTTAGACAATAGAATCGTATGATCTTCCTTGCAGCAAACTGCAATTTAATTCTACTTAGAAATACATCTCATTTAAATAAATCTCTCTAACAGATTTACTCCTAGATAAGTTGTTATGCCATTTCAGTCTTAAACATTTTAGACTGTAAATTAGAATTGATTTTCAGAATATGATTTGGACCTGTAATGTGGCATTGAAACATAGGGTTGGATTTGTTCCTCTGAATTCACTGCTGTGTTGGCAAATGAATTTTCAGAATCCTTTGAAAAGTTTTAAGGCATGACTTTCCTTTGCTGTGATACTGTTTTCTCTTTCCTTATGTTAAACACTGCAAAAATCATCCTGGACTTTTCACCATTAGAGTTTTTTGGGTGACCAATATCTCTAACACATTCTTGCACAGTTGCAAGGGGGCAGGGGCAGGGGCAGGTGGGAATACACAACCAATGCAGAATTATCTTTGAACATAAATCAGTGATCCTTTGTGATGGATGGCATTAGTGGGGAAGATTCTGGAATGGGGCTTCAAGGTTGTCAGGAGCGGAGAGAGACATTCCAGGGCAAGCACTTCCTCAGCCTGCAACAAGACTGTGGAAATGCGAAGAGGAGGAGGCTGGCTGCTCCCTAGAGTCTCACAAGTATATTCACTAGTAGTTGTAGATAAGTTTAGTCTGGCGAGATTCTGTCTATTAGGTAATAGTCAATAAAGGAAATGTACTGCACTGGAAGGCCTCGATGTGGTTCTTGGGCTGACCCTGACATCAATCTCGCCAGACTCATACTCCCGCTGTGAGGGAGGAAATTTTAAGCATGGCTTCAGACCCCCAGGGAGCTCTGTTGACTCTGCAGCATCTGGCAGAGGCCTTGTTACAGCATCAACAAGAAATGGACACACAGATCAATAATTTGCGGACCACGATGATGCAATTGGCACAAGAACTCGGGCAGACCGCTCAACAAGCTGTGGCTGGACCACCGGTCCTGCTGCGTTCCCATAGAAGCATGCCTGAGAAGTATGGAGGAGAGGTGGATAAGTTACAAACCTTCCTGGCGCAGTGTGAGTTTTTAATGGACAGCAGGCCGGTGGAGTTTCCTACAGACCTTTGGGGTCCTTTGCACTGAATTTGCTAAAGGGAGCTGCTGCCAAATGGGCGACACCTTTGATAGAAGCTAACAATCTGGTGCTCAACAATTATCAGACCTTTGTCAGGACTTTTAGAGGGCATTTTGGAGATCCCATTTGGAGAAACACGGCCAGTTGGGACATTCGGAAGCTCAAGCAGGGCAACAGAAGTATAAGATTATACATTGCAGAATTTAAGCTGTGGGTGGGAGATGTCAACTGGAATGATGTGGCTCTCACTGACCCATTTTGGGAGGTGTTGGACCCAGAGTTTCAGAGTGAACTGATAAAACAGGGTGTCCCAAATACACTGGATGATCTTTATCAGCAGTGTGTGGTACCTGACACCAGGCTGGAGGACTTAAAGCACTATCAAGCTAGCAGGAGCCAAGGCGCCTTCCGATCTCCTCTCGCGGCTCTCCCTCCTCCTCCTATAGCAGCCGCTGATCCCAGAGAGGGAGAGCAGATGAAAGGCAGTCTCTGTGGAGGAGAGACAGAAGAGGAGGGATCTAAACCTTTGTTTTACTGCAGAGCCCCAGGGCATGTGGCAAGGGCATGCCCGGCCAGGAACATAGCGGTGAGAGCCATGCGCCAGGAGCAGACCTCAGCTAGGTGCACATTTGCAGCCACAGCACCAGAGCAGGGAAACTTGCCAGGTCCCTCTCCTCAGAGCTCGCAAGAGAGGCCATCAAGCAGATAAGGAGGGCTCATTCCGGAGACAGCAGGCAGGCATCTTTTCTTGTTCCCATTAAGTAACCTTAGATTCTGGCCGCAAGATAGACCTAGAGGCTCTTGTTGATTCGGGGGCTACCACTAATTTCATAGATATTCAGGCAGTGCAGAAATGGCAGTTGGTCACAGTAGATTTAAAGAAGCCCATGGAGGTAGAAACTACAGATGCCCAACTGTTTAAGATGGGTCCTGTGGTGCAGGTCAAGGTGCCGCTGCAGTTAATGGTCAATGACCATACAGAGCTGTTGCCCTTTATGTAACTACGTCCTTACAGGTGCCAGTAGTGTTGGGCACCTCCTGGCTTAAGCTTCACAACCCTACTATAATAGGAGTGCAGGGACGCTCTCATTTGCCTCTCCTGATTGCAAGTACCACGAGGCACAGGGAGCCATTCTCTCCAGTCACAAGAGAAACATCCAGACAGAGGGAGGGGGTTTACCTGCCAGATGTTTTTGGAGAGGAGACAGCTATTGCAGTACCACGCCCCCCCATGGAGACTGTGATTGCACGATTGATCTGAAGCCAGGGGCAAAGATTCCAGTCAAGCGGCAATATCCCATGTCTGCCAAAAAGTTAGCTATTCTCAAGGAATACCTGGATGTGAATCTAAAGAAAGGTTTTATCACAATCACCAGCTTCAGCTCCCACATTTTTTGTGCCTAAGAAGCCAGACCCACAGACTTCGGAGAAAGGGTCTAGAGGAGGAGCCCCCATGCACACCGTCCTTTGCCACGGCTTTGCCATGATAATGAGACAGATGGCCACGGGGGCGTTTTCAAAATGCTTCACAGGACTCTAAGAGAATATTGGTGGCCAAAGATGTCTGCAGACTTTAGAGACTATGTGGCATCTTGCCACATGTGCAGATGAGCTAAGCCCCTCCGTGGGAGGCCAGCTGGGCTTTTGCAGCCATTAGACACCCCTCCTCAGCCTTGGGATATAGTTTCAATAGACTTTATCAATGACCTGCCACCGGTGAAGGCATATACATCTATATTAGTAGCGATAGACCTATTTACTAAGGTGGCTCATTTTATACCATGCAAAGGACTGCCTATACCATAAGCCACAACACAGCTCTTTTTGGACCACATCTTTAGGTATAGAGGGATGGTTAATTGAATAATAACTGACAGAGGTAGTCAGTTCTCTTTTAGGTTCTGGAGGGCCCTTTTCCAGTTGCTGAAGGTCTGCATTCACATGTCTTCCGCTCACCACCTTGCTATGAAAGGAGAGGCGGAGAGGACTCACCAGGTGTTGCAGCAGTATTTGAGGCGCTACAGCAACCACAGCCAAGGCAACTGGACCGCTCTTCTTCCCTTGCCATAGTTCTCATATAATAGTTCAGTGCACTCCTCAACTGGAATGTCACCATTTCAAGCGCTGTATGGTGTAACCCCTCAAGTGTTGCCAACAGCTTTTCGGCAGGGTGCAGTGCCAAGCACAGCACAGTTTCTCAGCAGCAGGCAGCACAGGAGCTATTGAAGGAGCAGCTGTCAAGGACGAAGGAGGTGTACAAGAGAGCAGCCGATGTGCGCAGGCAGAGGGGCCCAGAGACTTCAGTGGGTGACAAGGTGTGGCTTTCTAATTTCCACCAGGCCATCTAAGAAGTTGGACTCTAAATTTGTGGAACCTTTTAATGTCATTCAGCAACTGAACCCGGTGACCTTCCATTTGCAACTACCAGCTTCGATAAAAGTCCATCCTGCTTTTCACCATTCCTTGCTAGTCAAGGAGGCCCCACCAAGTGCCTTGAGGTCCCATATCCCCCTACCCCCCCCCGATCATAGTCGAAGGGGAAGAGGAGTATGAGGTGGAAGCAATTTTGGACTCCCGAATGAGGGGGAAGGGGATTCAATATCTGATTCATTGGAAGGGCTACCCAGAGGCAGAGTGTTCCTGGGAGAATGCAAGGAATGTGCACGCCCTGGAGTTGGTCCATGACTTTCATCACCATTTGCCTGGCAAACGAAGACCTTGCGAGCTTCCCGAGTCTCTGGCCTTTCAGGAGCAGGAAGAGGAGGTCAATGGTGCAATTGTGGAAGGTTTGGTGGGGGCCATGGGGCTGGAGAGGCCGGGGGCAGAAGGTCCTCAGCCTTAAACTTCTGGTTTGCATTTCCAACAGGGGAGGGGGGCTGATTCTAATAACGATGTAGCTGTTTTGCAGAACCAACAGCCTGAGCTGGGGAGGTGCCAGGGAGCCCGGAGAGAAGCAGCACACCTGTGCTTTCATCTCTACCAACGCTGCCCAGCTACCATGAGAACTCAGGGGGAGTCTGACTTTGAAGGGGGGGGGGCTTGAGCGGGGAAGATTCTGGAATGGAGCTTCAAGGTTGTCAGGAGGGGGGAGGGACATTCCAGGGCAAGCACTTCCTCAGCCCGTAACAAGACTGTGGGAATGCAAAGAGGAGGAGGCTGGCTGCTCCCTAGAGTCTCACAAGTATATT